TGACGACCGGCATGATGATGCCGGCGCCGCTGGCCTGAATGATCCGGCCTGATCAAAATGATGCTGAACGTCGGGCCCCTACTGTAGGGCCTCCCAACAACGGGCAGCCAGCGTTTTAGAAGCTAGCATTTATATCGAACAATATTTTTCTTGAAGGAAGATGGATACTCGCACCTATCGCACTCTTCTTTATAGCCAGTGACCTTTTGTGCGGGGTCCCGTACAGCCTTAGTGGTAACAATGTCCAATTTAGGTCGCTGGAACAGGAAATTGCAAGTGTTTCTTAGCTCGCTCGGTTTATTTCATTGATAATGAAGCATGTGCTTAGAACAGACAGGTAGTCATTTAATTCTACCGCAGTCTATCGTCGTTTTACATGTTTATTGAGGCTCTGGTGCAGGCGACACATCTCTTATGGTACGTTAGATGGAACAGAAGAAGCACTGCATGGGGTGAACATCTCTAGCTGTATTAGACTACTGGTCGCTCAAACATCGTCACCTACAGCCTTGAATGTGGATTTCTTGACGATGGCAATGCTTATTTACTTGTGCGTTTACAGCGCTTGTAGACTCACTAAGCTTAACATGGTCTTGCACTTGTCGCAGATACATTATACGAACTCGTTTACCCAATCAGCTACACGAAATACCATCTCGTACAGTTTACCAGCGTTTTATCGTGTTGGGTCTACATTCTTCGTGTGATATTGCTGCGCTTAGCCAAGGTGTAAAAAAGTTTTATAAGCTCATCAACTACTACGTCTTCAACAGCAAGACACCATCATCGTCATGTTTAAAGCAACGCTGCAGCCCAGGTAACTGCTGTATTCAATAGTTACGAAAGATGATTGTTCACAATGAGCTTGTAGTCATCCGGTTACTTGTTGTGGTAGTACCAGCTGCGGTACAGCATACGGAGATTGTCGTACTCCTCGTCAGGAATTCTGTTACCGAGTTTGACAGGGCTGTAGCCGTATGCTTCCAATCTCTTAAAATAATTCAAGAGGCTTCCACTCACATTGTTAGCAGTTCGCTTCTGGGCTTTGTTTACATACACCGTTAGCTTGTCGACGTTGAAGAGGTTGGCAGCATTCGCCCTTTCCTCTTCATCGTCGTCGTCGCGATAATCGTTGCTGTCGAAGCGCAAAAGCCTCTTCTCGCGCTCAGCACCAAGGTGAACTGAAACTTCTGGTGATGCATACTTCGCGATATTGGGCATGGGCTCGGAGGCTTCGGCTGCAGCATTAGCGCTTGCGATGATAGTGGTCACAGTAGCGACTACTAGATAAAGGCAGGACAGACGCATTGGTGAACGGCGGTGGCTCTTGATCCGAAATGAAGACAGTTGGGGCACAAAGTGATGGCTTTCGTACGACGCAGATTGCAGAGTGAAATTGTTAGCTGCTTTCGTGTGCTCAGCTACTTCGATGTCTAGTGATATCAATATTACAAAGTACAGGTGTCACAACGCAAGCCAGGTCTCTGTATGGGACAGTATGTGAAAAAGGCAGGGCATTGATTAGATACAGGTTACGATATCCTGAATATCCACTCGGTTTCTAAATCGGTTTATATATATTGCTTGTCTGGTCCTCTCTTTTAGACTGCTATGCTTTCTGTTCAGTAGTATATTAAACCACTTGAAAACTTCAAAAATTGGGAAGCGTTCGTCAGAAGCACGTTTCCCTGAACTATAATGTTACTGGTCGTAACGCTACACTTCACCGTCGTTGACTGTAAGCGATAGTGTTACGTAATTGCGCTGGTATTCTGGACAGTAGCAGAAAGCGAATAAAATCTTGTTACTTCCCTTACTACCTCGACCGCAACTACGGTTTCTTCTTGAGTATGCTTCTCTCTCAAAAGCAAAAGGCAAACTGTGGCCAGATCTCTTGTGTCCTTACAGCTAAACTTTTCCGTCCTTAGTCTTCGACCACCTTTCTCCTTCTGGGACTGTACGTGCTGTGCTTACTAAGTCGTACAGCTCACCCAATATCTTAACACGCCGCCCTCCGAGATAGCTCTCTCGGAACTAATCTTCATCTCTCTTCACTCTGCTCCCACACAGTACTTTCTCACGATACTTCTCTCTTTCGGTCTCACGGCGAGTCTTGCTGATCTTCGGTTTCATACCTATGATGGTCTTTGTCCTATCAAGCCGCGTCAACCCCATTGGTTTCGTCAGAAGGTCCGCAGGATTTTCGTCTCCTTTCACGTTCCATAGTTTAACACCTTTCTGTCGAACCATATCTCTCACGTAGTGTAGACGTAATTCAATATGACGTGTCGTTCTGCTGTACGTGGGGTGAGTAGCTAGTGAAATCGCTGCTTGGTTGTCAATTCCAAGTTTAAATGACAGAGTGCTCTTACCGACAATCTCCGACAAGATGTTCTTAATAGAAGCTCCTTCTTGACACGCCTCACAAGCCGCAGCATATTCTGCTTCTGCAGTGCTTAGCGCAAAAATTGTTTGTCGTCGCGCAGCCCACGTCACCGGTCCTCCCAAGCCGATCATCATCACATATCCAGTTACGCTTTTCTCGTGTCCGGACAATGC